CCAAAGAGTGTTAAAATACGTGCAAGTGAAAGGCACCTTTCCTTGTGGGTGTTGTAGCTATTGCCAGTTTATTTGCTCCCCAAAACAATCTGTGTTTACCCAACGAACACATATTTACCACATGACATGTAAATTGTCAGACTCAAGGGGTAGTATACATTATGTTCTACCCCTTCAGGGCCTTTTACGTTTGGAAAACAAAAAGAGAATTCTGGGGCAGGATCTATGAGCATGTATCTACAGCTATGACAGGGAACATTTTTCTCCAATAGGACAACATGTTGTCTCTGTTCATAAATATTCTTTTTTGGCACTTGCACACACATACCCTGACTCCAGGGATGGTGACTGGAATAAAATTATATTACAAAATGAAACGCATTAGATATATGCTTTGAATGCCACTCACCCCCTGGTCTAAGTGATAAGTTAAGTTTTAAGTCTTTTTTAGAGGGTTTTGAATCAGTAAAATCTGAACATTTTATGTAGAATCAGTTTTTAGTGATGGATCCTCTTGATCCACTCTGTGGGAATGTAACATGTAATCTTTCCCATTTTTTTTATTTGTTTTTCTTTTTTTGCTTTTTATTTTGACCCTGTGTGCCATAATGGTTATGTAGTATATATAATTCATGTATTGTGGTATTGCTCTTATGAATTGTAATGGGATGGATGATTTTCTCTTTAAGATTTGTTTCCTGATTGTCCAATTGGCACTTGGCACACATGGCCCCTACACCCTTTGAGTAGGTGGAACTTTTATCCTCCATCACGCAGGCACTCATTTTCCAGTTCTTTGCAGCCTGTGCAAAAACCTTAATCAGCTGCGTATTTCTTTTGGAGGAATCCATGCGTGCTGGATCTTTGCCCTAGTCCAATATGGCTGACACCTGCCCTTTCCTAAGTGCCAGAAGTGATGTCATTGTCACACCTGAAGTGATGCCACATGTGAACAGAAGTGCTTGTCTGGGACCAGGAAGAGCGAAGGATGCTGAATGGGAGATATTGCGCTCCCTTTCCCACACTATTCCAGCTATCATTCATTAATTTAGTTTGATGCAACTGGCTTTATTTTGGAGCTTATTTATTGGCTGAGTGTTGTCAGCTGCTCTCTTCCTCTGATCTTTATAAGCCCAGTGTTTATTTAGCCAGATATTTCTTTTGGATTCTGGATGGCTATTGAGGTAGATTTGCAGCCTTGGTTGTAATTTCAAGATTTGCTCTTTCTCCCTTTTTTTATTATGTATTTACACAGCTTTTCCCATTTATTTAGGGCACCTCCATACAATATTATGGCATTTTACTATTTATCCTTTTTGCGCTTTAGGAATTCTGATCCCTCTTGTTGAGCCTATTTGGGTTACCTCCATTGAAGCCTTTTATAATACATCTTTTGGGGAGGAATTTCTTGTTACCTGTCCTGATACTTTTTGATTGAGATTTTTTAAGGTCAGTGCAAGTACCCCGAATGCATAATTAATTTTTGTTTTTTTGGGGGGTCTTGTTTATTGTTTGATATACCTTTATTTACTTATTATACTGTTCTAGTGCCCATTAGTTGATCTCCTGGGTCATTTTGTGGGGAGTTTATTGCATCCTTTTTGCTATATTGGATGCTGTCATGTGTCACCCCCCCCCCCCCCCCCCCCAGTAATGGCATCCACTCTGCATCATGTTTCGCTGTGTAATTCTATGAGTAAACTAGTATATATATACACATTGTAAATCTTTTTTTTTTTTTTTGTAATTTTGGTTTGGTTTATTTACAGATCATACCACTATACTTACCCCCTGAAGAAGACTTACAATTATTTAGTCGAAACATGTTGGGGTTTTCTATACATTTTAAGAATTGAAGACATGCTGTAATATATATATATATATATATATATATATATATATATATATGTACATTTTCTTTTGTTGTTTTTTAATATGTTGCAGATTGTCTTTTTTTTTTGAATTTTTATTAATAAATATTGTGAATTTGAATTACATTTTCTGTATTCTTGGTGCCTAGTAAAAATCTCAGGCCACTAATGTCTGGTTTTGATATATATGAACTATATAGGGATGTGGCACTTTTAAACTACTTTGGGTCTAAACAGAAAGGAATGTGGGAACATCCCCTCAACACTTTATTGGCACATCACAAAACAGAATAAAAAATATATAGATAATTTTTATTACAATATTTCAATAAAACATACAGAAACAGAATTCATAAAATTACATACCTCACGTTGTCATATACAACAAAATGCCTTAAAAGCAATACCCCAAAGAGATTATGATACATTAACCTATGTACTAAACACACCTAATGCAGGTGAAATGCGGTATATTGGTCCCAATCTTCAGGTCAACGTGTTTCACAAAAAGCGTAGCTTCTTCAGGACCATAAATTTTGGAGTATATTTTATCTAATAAATGTAAAATACAAAACCAATAATAACAAACAATACAATTATATAAAGTATTTTAGCACATCATTGTGCATGATAGCAGATACGCATAGGGTATGCTTACATTAAAAATGGCTGCTTGGCATCCTGTGTAGCAAGTCTCGGGAGTGAGCACAGGGGCCTCAAATCCCCCAAAAACTGGAAGGCCAAGTACACTTCAAAAGGATCTTTTGGGGAATACAGGGAAGGCAATAAAGCAAAAGGTTGTGAACTAGATACTTAAATAGGGTAAGTATCTATTTCACCTGGTTTTGTGAACTGAGGGCCTTTTGAAGCTTATATATTGGATACACACAAAATGATATACTGCATATACACAAACTCACAGCCCTTATAACAACAGGGTGTTAGTTTCATGTGAGCAGTTTGCTTTCATAGTTACCTGTTGTCCACCTGACCACCTCTCTATGCTAATAATATAGCTGCCTCCAACACCCACTGGCAAGTGTCACAGGGCTCATCTGCCCCTTTTGAGTGCCCAGGTCGTCCATGGCAGGTGTCAGGCGGAGGATCAATGAACAGCCATTTGATTACCTTCCCCTTTTAGAAAGGATACAAAAGCACTCAGCCCTGAGCATTTCCAGGTGTAGAGCTGTCAAACCCTAGCCTACACTGCTTATTTCCATTATCTAATCATGTGCAAGAAAAATTGTGTTTTTTTTAAATTTATAGTTGCACATGATTGGGTATTATTTGTAAAGTTTCACTAGGCTTTGGGGCTAACTTCCCTTAAAAAATGCAACTTCCCTTACACAGTTAACAGACTATTTGCCCTTGGTAATCCAGATCCAGGGGTTCTAATATACCACCAATGTTTCCTCAAAGAGAACATTAAATACAAAGAGTCCAGCACACTCTATACAGCACTGTGACCCAGTCATTAGGTGCTGTGGTAAAATGGCAAATGGCACCACTAAAGCATAAGTCCAATCCAAGATATCATCAGCTATGTGCCACCAACAGAAAGCAGAAATGTTTTGAGACAACTAAGGGCCTCTTCATCAGGCAGCAGTGATGTGGTGTGCAGGTGATATCTTGGAGTAACCTTGAATAGAACCTGACATCTGCACTATACTTTCACTCCTTAGCCCCTTTATGATAGAAAAAAGCCCATTGGCTTCATATACACATACATAAAAATACAAATGTACATCATTAGCTCATACAAACAAAAATGACAATGACAAATTAAAATTCTACCTATAATACCAAAGAGAGAAAACTGAAACACTCTTTTTCCACATTCATCCTTGCAGAAGACAATAAGTGCAATTCACTGAAAGGAAGAATCTGGGAGCAGGTAGAAATCAGTTTTAAAATATTTGGTTTGCTTGCAATGAGGGTTCACATAAGCAATCACTAAAAGCTATAATGTGACAAGAACAACATTATTATCTCATTAAAGATGTATAAAACGTATAAACATTTAAAAACGAACTACACAAAGCAATAGTTTTAAAGCTCTAATGTTCATATGTTTGCATGTTGTGATTGATGCATTTTTCAGTGCTTTTTGCAGTGCTGTTACGTTTTTGAACACATTTTTTAAGCATTTTGCATTGTTTTTCCCGATAGGTAAGTATTGAGCGAGACTTTGATGTGACTTTGATACTACTTTACACTATGGCACTCAAAGTCACATCAAAGTAGCCTTTTTAAAATTGCTTCAACTTTAAGTCACATAGATTTGAAGGAGTTTTATTGCAATCAATGGTCTGTGACTTCTAACGTGATCTGTGTTAGGGAAGGGCTAGGGTTAGCATTAAATGTTAGAACACTAACCCTAACATTTAAAGCTAACCATGACCCTAACATTTAACTGTAACCTTAGCCCTTAACCCTAACATTTAACTTTAACTCTAACCTTTAATGCTAATCCTAACCATAACATTTAACTCTAACAGTTAACCTTAACCCTAGCCCTTAAACCTAACCCTAACCCTTAACCCTAATCCTAGCCCTGAACCATAACATTTAACTCTAACATTTAAAGGCTAGTTCACACTAGCTCTGAAAGCAGGCGTTTGAGGGGCATTTTCAACCACTAGCCTACAGGGCAGTTATACCCCCTTCCTGCCCAGGCCAATTTCCAGCTCTCAGTGCTGTCACACTTTGAATGACAATTGCGTGGTCATGCAACACTGTACCCATATGAAATTTTTATCATTTTTTTGTGACAGATAGAGCTTTATTTTGTTGGTATTTATTAACCTCTGGGTTTTTTATTTTTTCTTAAACAAACCAAAAACCACGGAAAATTTTGAAAAAAAAAACGTTTTTCTTTTGTTATAAACTTTTGTAAATAAGTGATTTTTCTCCTTCACTGATGTGCACTAATGAGGCTGTAGTGATGGCCACTGATAAGATGCACTGATGGACACTGATAGGTGGCACTGATGGGCACTGATGAGGAGGCACTGGTAGGTGGCACTGATGGGCATTGACAGGCATCACTGATGGGCACTGAAAGGCAGCACTGATATATGGCACTGATAGGCGGCACTGACTGGCACTGATAGGTGGCACTGACTGGCACTAATAGGCGGCACTGACTGGCACTGATAGGTGGCACTGATTGGCATTGATAGGTGGCACTGATTGGCATTGATAGGTAGCACTGACTGGCACTGATGGGTGACACTGAAAGGCAGCTCAGATGGGCACTGATGTGTACTGGTAGGCACTGATATGTGGCATTGATGTGGCACTGATGGACACTGGCAGGTGGCACTGTTCAGCACTGACAGCTGGCACTGATGGACACTGACAGGTGGCACTTCTGGGGCCATACTGAGATCATCAGTGCCCTGATGATCAGTGCACCTGTCCCCTCTGCAGAATGCATATTACCGGCTCTCCTCTCCTCTCGAGCTGTCAGCGTGACAGCTCAAGAGGAGAGAAATGCCGATAACCGACATTTCCCTGTTTACATGTGATCAGCTGTGATTGGACACAGCTGATCACATGACCGAGCCGACATCTTCGGCTCTTTCCGTGGATCTGTTATCCGCTGTGTCCGAGGGACACAGCGCACCGCCGATCGCCGAGCTGTGTGCTCCCTGAGCCGCAAATGCGCGGTGAGAATGGAAGGACGTCATATGACGTTCTATCAGAACGAGAGAACCACCTTGCGCCCGTCATTAGACTATATGGCGGGCGGGAGGTGGTTAAAGCTCCTCAAACGCCTATGGAAATTATACTATGAAGCGATACATGAAGCGTTAGCATCCTGTCACTTCAAAATTGAAGCCTTATGTCGAGTCAGGAGGAGTTGAAGCCTTTCAACACTTCCCATTCAAGTCTATGGTGATGCTCCTCAAAAGCACTGGCAGGCGTTTGTGGGGCTGTTAACCACTTGCCGCCCTGCTACAGTAGATATACGGTGGCAGGGCGGCACTGGCAGGCAAAACCACGTTTTAAAACGTGTGTTTTGTAAACATCTAGGGGGCGCCCGAAAGGCGCGCCGCCGCCCTATCTGTCCTGCCGATCACCACCACAGATGTGAGTCGCCGGGTCACAGCCGGTCCTTACTGGCTATCTCCCGGCTATCGGCGACAAACAGTGACAGACAGCACAGCTGCAGTAGCTGTGCTGTCTGTCACTTCCCTGTCAGCTCGAGGATGAGCTGATCGAGAAAGAACAGTTTCTCTTTCTCGATCAGCCTTGTCCCGTCCAGTACACACCCCCGCCCCCTAGTAAAACACTCCCCTCACTCCTATAACCCTTCCCTGCAAAATAAAGTTAACCCCTTCTTCCCCATTGCCATTAGTACAGTGTCAGTGTTTTTTTTTTTTTGCACTGATCACTGTATTAGTGTTTTGGGGATGTCAGTGACCCCAAGTCAGTACCCCCCAATGTCAGAATGTCTGCCGCAGTCCCGCCATAAGTCGCTGGTCGCTGCCATAAGTCCCTGATCGCCGCCATAATTCGCTGATCGCCGCCATTATTAGTATAAAAAAAAACCCTAAAAATCCCAGTATCTTTCCTGCCATTTGTAAACGCTATAACTTTCATGTAAACCAATTAATTTACACGTATTGGTTTTTTTTTTTAGAAAAGACATGTTGCTGAATGCATTTTGGCAGAAATTTATGACTAAATTAGATTTTTGCATATTTTTTTTTACTGGACATGTTTTATAGCAAAAAGTCCAAAATATTGTTTTTTTTTCCTCAAAATTGTCAGCCTTTTTTTTTATTGCGCAAAAAATAAAAACCACACAGGCAATCAAATACCACCAAAAGAAAGCTCAATTTGTTGGGAAAAAAAGGATGTTAATTTCATTTATGTACCATATTGCATGACCGCGCAATTGTCCGTTAAACTAGCGCAGCGCTGTATAGCAGAAAAATGGCGTAAATTGCAGTATTTATACCATAGTTTTTGTAGACGCTATAACTTCCACACAAAGCAATCAATATACACTTATTGGAATTTTTTTTACCAAAAACATGGAGCAGAATACATTTTGGCCTAAATTTATAACCAACTTTGAGTTTACTATATATTTTTTATAGCTGAAAGTAAAAAATATTGTTTTTCTTCAAAATTTTTGCCCTTTTTTTTGTTTATATCGTGAAAAATAAAAAGCGCACAGGTGATCAAATTACACTGAAAAAAAGCTCTACTTGTGTGAAAAAAAGGATGTAAATTTTGTTTGGGTGCAGCATTGCATGACCGTGCAATTATCAGTTGAATTAGTGCAGTGCCGAGTAGCAAAAAGAGGCCTGGTCATTAAGGGGGGTAAATCCTCAGGAGGCCAAGTGGTTAATGGGCTGTTAATACCATTAGAGTTTATTATAGGCATTTGTGGTTCAGTTTTAAAGCTTTTAAAATGCCTCTAAACTGCACATGGGGCATTTGGGGAGTGTTTTTAACGCTTGTAAAAATGGCCATACTAAAGCTCATTAATGCCTGTCTAATTCCCATACTAATGCTATAGGGGCGTTTTTGAAGAGTTAGAAATTTAGTCAAGTGTGAACAAGCCCTCTTATCCCTCTTGTATTGAACTGTATTGTTGCTGTATTGTCTTCCTTTATATTGTAAAGCGCTGAGCAAACTGTTGGCGCTATATACATCCTGTATAATAATAATAATAATAATAAGCCCTTAATGTTATCCCTAACCCTTAAACCTAAAATTTAACCCTAACCATAACATTTAACCGTAACCCTAGCCTTTAACCCTAACCCTACCATTTAACTTTAACCTTAGCCCATAAAACCTAAGCCTAACCCTCGACGCTAAAATTTAACCTTAACCCTGGCCCTTACCCTAAACCTAACATGCAACTTTGGACACAAAGTCACATGACAAGTTGCAGCCCATTGATGACAATGGAATCCCTTTCAAATCTATCTGACTTAAAGTCGCAGCAACCTTTAAAATGTTCCTGCATTATTTTGTTGCAACTTTGACGCAACTGGAGTGCCAGAGAGTGTAAAATCACATTAAAGTTGCATCAAAGTCTTACTCAATTCTTTCCAATTGGCAAAAAAATGCACCAAATTGCATTAAAAAGGCATAAAAAATGCAACACTTGTATTTTTGGAGTGGGTTCCATTGAAGTCTTTTGCACCAAAAACGCAATCTGCTGGGGGGAAATAGTACCTGACCCTTTCCAAAAAAAAGCAGCTGTTGGTGAATATCATAGAAAACTATGTTAAATGGACTGTAGTGCATTTCTGCAAGATGCGATACATACTAAAAAATGCATAGGTTTGAACCAAGGGTAAAAGACCAATACCCAGTGTGGCTGGAGACAATAGGGTGGCAAAGGGTGGTATTAAACACTGGAGCCTCCATTCTGCATATCTATGCAAGAATGTTATTATGTATTTATTACAGGTAACATGTATCTATATAGTGCTGACAATGTACATTGAGCTTTACATACTGTACATTCAAATCAGCCCCTGCCCTCAAGAAGTTTACTGTCTAAGGTCCTAATCTCACATGCATACACATACGCACACATTATGGACAATCTACCTACCAGCATGTCTTTGGAATGGGAATAAACTGGGGTACTCTCAACAGCATTAGCTTTGAATATCTTACTTTTCATAGCTATTTACAGTTACAATTAGTATTATCAATGTGTACTTTATGCAGTAATATTTTTGCATAAAAATAGCTAACATCTCTAAAAACAGGTAATGCATTTTTATTTATTTGCTAGAACTTGACAAAGTATGTTTAGATGCCAGAGGTCATACTCATTAGCCAGTAATATTATGAGGATACAATTAAGCTGTTTGGTCAACTTCACATACATATATACACGTTTTATTAAATCAGGCACAATGCATTTGGCAGAAACAAATGTTTTTAAAAGTATTTAAAGTGTGACACCTATAAACAGCACCTGTGGAGGATACTGCTTTATTAATACTAAGGTGTTTTTTGGTTTTGTCACTTGAAACTATAGTAAGCCATTCTGTAGTGTTTGTATAGCAATTCAAAGCATTAGTGAGGAGGGAAACTGTCCTGCTGCTCAAATGATTTCCTCTTCTACAAGTTTAGTTCTGCTTTTTCTACATTGCTTTATTTACCATTAAATGTGGTGAATGTTAAAACACCTTTAGCAACAGCTAGATAATAAATGTCTAATGATTTCAGTTTAAAAAAAAATGTAAAATAAGTTATTCTCGTTTAACAAATGCTTTCAAAATTTTGGGAAAACACAACTTTGAAGCAACACCTAACATTCATCAACTGCAAATTTTTTAACATTTTAGTTAAGTTTTATTGAACATTTTAACACACTGTTTTCAGAATAGTGCATCTATATTGGTTCCTTTCTGCTTGAAAACATAGCCTTCCTACCCTTTTAACCAAGTTGCATGACCTTCCTTAGATTTGTCTGCTTGTAAGCAGCAGGGCAAGCTGGGATCCAAATTGAAATCAGCTGTAGCTATCATTAACACATGCTGAGTATCTAAGCATACACAGTTAGACCTAACCCTGCCTTCTTTGACTCTTTTCGGTTTTTTATCCATCAAGTCATAATTCCCCACACTTATCTATAGAGGAATCAGTCAACTGAAAATACATTTCAACAGTTATTATGCTATTTACAAACTCAAGGAACGGGAATCTTGATCATAGAGAAAAAAAAATTTGGAATTACATTTTACATGTTAAAAATTATTGCTCTGTTTATAAAAGATATTTTCAAAATGCAGCAAACAAACATTGCTATTAGATAACAGTGATAGTGATATATTTGCACTATAATGCTGTAATGACTGTTCATATGGAGGCACATCAGCACAATGCATTCCATGCAGTAGATACAGTATATTGGCCTGTACTTACCTTGTACAGTGTAAGCAAAAGTGTGAAAAATCAAATAATAAACAACATCTTAAATGTTTATCTTATTATACTGTATCTGCTACTTAATTGTGCCCAAGTTAATATCTTCAAATGCAAACAGAAAAAAAAAAGACTCACAAAAATCTGCATTAATCAGGTCATGTTGCCTATGTATGCACATGCTTGCTGCTTAACTGCTTACTGGAGTTTAACTGCAGTGCAGATAAGACCTGGTTGCATAAACAGAAGGTATTAACAGAAGGTATTCAAGCAGTGTACAAAATGGGACACAATAGGAGCACACCACGTTCCATACAAAACACAATGGGGGCATGCTGCTCAGCTGTTCAGACAAGCGTAATACACAGACTAAAACAAGGCATGGGAAAATCATGCATGCACAATTTCTGATATTCCAGCCTGACAGGTTGATTTTACTCCTGTTTATATTTGATGCTGAGCATTTCTAGTTGGCATGTGACCAACCAATTTTTAAGGTTTAAGTGTCATGGGCAATTCTTACATTTTTAAAATATGAGGCAAAATAACATTTATTGGGTGATCATTTATATTATAAATCATAGTCACCCTTAAGATTTCCCCGCATATTTGTGTTGTTACATTCACTTTGCACATAATCTAAGCAAGTAATTAGTAATAAATCATTGCATGTTCCAAAAATATGCAATAATTCCTTAAGGACGAATTCTCTTTTTTATTCAGAGCATGTTTTTTTTTAATAAAGGATAGGTTCACCTTTCCTAT